TCAAACAAGGCATGAAAATGTAAAAAGCTGTACCCCACTGACATATTTTCTCACTTGCTCCTTTCACTGCCCTCCTCCGCTTAGAAGATTCAAACCTATAAAGCTGTTCCCACTGACATATTTTCTCACTCGTTTCCTTTCACTGCCTTCCTTCTTCACTTAGAAAGGTTCAAACCTAAATATCTCTGTTTCCGACTGTCATATTTTCCCACTTGTTTCCCTTCACTGCCTTCCTTCTCCCCTTGTTTTCTTTTACTGCCTTCTTCTCTCCATTCCGATATTTTCTTATGCATTTGATGAGCTTCATTTTCGATTGGCTTCACGAATGGTTCGGTCCTCTTTTGTGTTTCCAAACATGCTTTTCAGCCTTCTGATTTTTTGTACAGTTTAGTACGTACCACTTATCATCTCAAATTGTATTATTTTTTGCAGATTACATCATTTTGGTAAGATCTGCCTTTTGTATTCTCAAACCTTCAAGAAAGAAGAAGTCCAAGTTCTAGACGAACTGGTATAATTTTTTAATCCTCGTGTATTTTTTTTCATATTCATTTTTTTGTTCTCCAAAAGCTTTATTTTAATATATGCTTCGCTAACTTCATCACTAATTTATTAAACTTTAGTATATACTAAATGTGAAGAAGTGCATTAAAAATCTCGTATTTTACGTACACCAAATTCTTCTGAAAATTTGGTATTATTTTCCCTCTGTTTCGAAAATATATATCGTTTAATTTTTTTTACATATTTTCAAACTATTTTTTATAATATATGAATAATATATAATTAATTTTTTTTTTAAATTTGTGTTTCTTATGGAATCTTAATTTGATAAAAAAAATTTCGATGATTGTTAATGTAGACATATACTATAAAAAATATTGTCTAAAGATACAAATAAAAAATCATACTACTTATATTTTGAATCAGATGAAATAATAAATCAAATTACTATATTTTGAAATGGATAGGGTGGTATGAAGTAAAATATTTATTGTTCCAGTTTCATCTCCACTTTCACAGCTGCCTCTTTCTCTCCATCGCCCCATATATATTCTGTTGTGCAACTGATTATAATAGGCTTCATGTTTATATATTTGGGGCTTTAGGAATGGTATGATGCTTTTCTCCTCATCGTATTTCTTTTCAGCCTTCTGATTTTATCCATTAATTAACCAACCGAATTTAGTACCGCTTAATCTCCCAACCAATGTACTCTATTCTACAGATTGCATCATCATTTTGGTAAAATCTACAACATATCTTCAATCTGCATTTTTTTTCTTCTCAAAACCCTCAAATTAAAGAATTAAGCACAATTTTCAGGTCAGCAGGTATAATTTTTTAATTTAATTCATATTTTCTTTCTTCTCTCAAAAGCTTTTTATATACTTGTATATGTGTTTTCCTTTTCTTCTTTGTAACTTTGTTTGCATTTTGGTTTTCATTTTACACGCAATCTATGAAGAAGTGTTTTGTTAGCACATCTTTTCTCTCATCACTCTGGGTCATTTGGAGAAAGCACAAAGGCTATTTAATTAAGGTAAATTTTCTTCTCTCACTTAATTATTAATTATTTTATGACTAATTTATGTCTCATTTTTTTTTGTATATGTAATAATAAAAAACGAAAGAATGTCTAAATTTACTCCAAAGTTAAGCAATAAGCAATAGGGATGGATCCACCCTAAACAAAAACTAAGGATAAATTTAGTTACAAAATTTTTTATTTAAATAATTCCAAATTT